GAGAGTGTGTGAAGAGCATACCTACGCTTGGGTAGCGCACATTTGGGAATTGCTTACTTATTTGAAACAGTGAAGAACCCTTTTTCTTCCATTCGCATCTGAAGCGATGTCAGTCTAGTTCGTTGCGAACTAATGTATCGCCATATACATGTTTGCATCACTGGGTGTAAATAACAGACACTTCAACAATTGTTTTATCGATTCATGTAAACATAATGCGTAGTTCACGTACGAATATTTGTATGTATACGTATACTCGATGAGTGTGATAAATTATGTTTACATCGGTGTGTGGATTGGATATACCCAAAATGTGGACGTATTTTCGGATTCGATAAAGGCGGATCGGGCTGTAGCCTGCAGCAAGTACACCCTCTCACCTCCGAGACCGTGAGACCTTTCTGCCGAAAGCAATTTATCAGATTACAAGAGCTCGGCATCAAGGACAAAAGCGTCACTCGAATCAGAAACGACAAGCATACTTAGGTGCATATATTTAATTTTAAAATTAAAGTATATAGACTTGATTTATGTGTCCCATTTATTGCCCGTATTTCAGCCGGCATCGCCGATGCATAATTCTTCAGACTCCTAAAACGCAACAACTATTTCTTCTCCTCTGCATCATTATCTTTACCCTCTTTGTCGGCCTTGTCTATTCCCATGGCAGACATCAGAGCTGTTGAAAAGTATCGCGTTGCACCAGCAAGCAATGTTAGAAATATTCAACCGTTCAAGCGTTTGTTTTGCCTCTACCTGGTTTACATATCACATGCTTGTTTCATTTAGATATTAAATTCAGTATCATCGTAGTATACTTCGTAGAAATAAACAATACATCCCGTACTAGAAATAGTTTCAACCTTGTGGTTACGGAGAGTACTGAGCGCCTCATATCTGCAGAGTTTTAAATCGTGCCCAATATATCGAGACCGTACTGCGAATGATATGTACATATAGACTAATATTCGGTGACCTGCTGTATAACTCATATATCAACAGATTGCATTTTCAACTTGGCAACTAGTCCATAACCGGGGCCAACTGTCGGATTTACTACTATCGATTGCAAATAGAAGGTTGTGATATTATAGTAATACCCCTTTGCGTGAAAGCAGATCGTGTGGGAGGCAGGAGCAATTGTGCACTAAACTGAACTAGGGAAAACAAAATAAACCAAAAGCCGCTGAAATGAAAGCTGACTGCATCATATTCCAAGGGCAAAAGTTCAGCCCTAAGAGCATTGTTCACTAAGAAAGGATACGTACGCCTAAGATCGATGAAGGCTAATCAAAAATCAAGGAATAACCATCGACATGACAAGTAAGTAGAACTTTACCTTCATCTGATGGATCTACACCAGGCAAAGATCCCAGGACAGACGACAGGAATTCAGGATTCTGCATTGCATCGGTCATTTCCTCGTCGCCATCGGCGTCGGTGTTTGCGTCATTGAGCGAGTTCTAAAATGACATGTGTAACAAGGGAATTGATGATTGAAAGTTTGAGTGTTCTGCGCTGATGCATGCGGTTATACATCTAATCACACAGACACAAGACACAGACACAGACACAGACAGAGACACACAGATACAGACACACACTTATATATATCGATAACAAATATATATATATATATACGCATTTCAGCATAAGAGTGCCGTTACGTACACCTCTACCAGTATTCAAGTCGGTGTTTGTATAAACCGATTCTATTCGTCCATCAGCCTCTCAATTTTGTGCAAAACCACGGCTTTCACAAAAGCAGAAGTCACGAAACGACAGTGATGGTATTTTTGTGCGAAACCATTCGATTTTTCGTCACGACACGAACATAATATAAATATGTATGTACAAATTAAAACAGGCACACATTGGATAGTAAGACAACAGGTGACTCGACACACAACGCAATACACGTGCAGCGCAGGCTAATACGGTCAAAATCCCGGGCATTACATTTTGGCAAACACTAAGTACTCCCCACCCACGTTAAGACAAGAACTGTCCAGGTAAACGCATACACAGTACACGGGTACATCCCTCACAGAACATCAAGCGGGGGTAGACTATACCTCAGTGTCACCCGGTGCCATGGACATTTGCATAGCCAAAGCAATCTGCTCCTCCTCAGTCATGTCACTCAAGACCTGGCTTTCCTCAGCCTCTTCTGCGGTCACTGCGTCCCCGTCCCTCGACATGGCCAAAGCCTGCATTATAGGGTAGATAGATATGAGCCACACTTGGGTCGCATTGCTAGGTAGCTACGAGCGAAGGACTGCAATACAATTGGCAGTGTGTTGTGGGTCATAGGCCGTACGGGGTCGATAAATGCTTCCAACACCGTGGGTGGGAGGATATCGTGGGGGTATGTTGAGGCATGTCGTATAGGTGGAGAGTATTTTGTCAAGTGCCTTAGTCGCATATACACACCTGCAAGCTAACATCGGCATGGAAATGGACCGATATATATAGTGTGTAAACCACATGTTAACCTTCATAAAAGTTTAGGTCAACTCCTGAGCTCGTGGGCGTATGAAGAATTTAGGAAGCATCTACGACACAGACTTACCTGAAAGCCACGATGCAAATAATACAAGCAAGCAACGTCACCTTGACACATGCCCTAGTGATATATATGTGCGTCAGATAGTCTATATGCATGTGTCCTATTTTATCAGATATAGACTTCAGTACGTTGTACTGAAAGTTAACAAAGTTTATGCAGAGCTACGTACTCAAACAATCTCAGACACACTTGCATCAATAGTGCCTGGTCTACACTTCAGTACATTGTACCGAAAATAAACGAAGTTTATGTAGTGCTATATACTCAGACAATCTCGTACACACCTGCATCAACAGTGCCTGGTCTACACTTCGGTACACTGTACCGAAAAATAAACGAAGTTTATGCAATGCTATACACTCAGACGATCTCGTACACACCTGCATCAACAGTGCCTGGTCTTCGTCCATCTCCGTTGGATCGTCCTGTGCATCGGCGGTTGCTGCAGTTTCACTGACGGTGGCACTTTCACTCTCACCTGTTTGGATTAGAGTTTAAAACTTGAGAGTTCAGAGTTGATGGGGTCTTAAGGGAATGCGCCGTTGTATATCTCAGGTAGAGTATGCGAGTAAAGTAGATGGGCGGTGAGCTTCGCTGGACAGCAGTGCCGAGGCGTGTTGTGGTGGTGTAAACAGGATGTCGGTACACGAATATATACCCCACACTCGAGCTACTGTGCGATAGCATATGGAGATACATAGACGAAATAGGTTTCAAAACGCCACCCCACTTATGTCACTGATGCTGCCATTTGTCATTCAACAAGACGTACAGAGTGCATTACTAAGTACATCCGCGAAATCACCCATGTAGTAGGAGCACACACTTGGCCGCCCATCCGCGGTAGTTTTGGCCCTGGCCATGTCTACCAAATGAACAACTGTATGCAACGGTATATACCCTCATACACACGAAAACGAGCATGTGTCACTTGTCACTGATGCTGTCATTTGTCATTCAACAAGACGTACAGAGTGCATTACTAAGTACATCCGCGAAATCACCCATGTAGTAGGAGCACACACTTGGCCGCCCATCCGCGGTAGTTTTGGTCCTGGCCATGTCTACCAAATGAACAACTGTATGCAACGGTACATACCCTCATATACACGAAAACGAGCATGTGTCACTTGTCACTGATGCTGCCATTTGTCATTCAACAAGACGTACAGAGTGCATTGCTAAGTACATCCGCGAAATCACCCATGTAGTAGGAGCACACACTCGGCCGCCCATCCGCGGTAGTTTTGGCCCTGGTCATGTCTACCAAATGAACAACTGCATGCAACGGTATATAACCTCATACACACGAAAACGAGCATGTGTCACTTGTCACTGATGCTGTCATTTGTCATTCAACAAGACGTACAAAGTGCATTACTAAGTACATCCGCGAAATCACCCATGTAGTAGGAGCACACACTTGGCCGCCCATCCGCGGTAGTTTTGGTCCTGGCCATGTCTACCAAATGAACAACTGTATGCAACAGTACATACCCTCATACACACGAAAACGAGCATGTGTCACTTTCAATAGCAACCCTCACTCTCGGCATTCTCTGCCTGATTGATGCTACAAACACTCTCCCCTACGACATACCCCACAACTACATACATACAATTTTTGATATATTCATAAAAATATATATATCACACACACACACATATATATATATATATATCTCACACACACACACACACATATATATATATATATAACCACGTACCTTCAACAGCCCCCCGCTCTCGGCAGCCTCTGCCCTGGCCCGGTCCTGCCTTGCCTGTTCCTCTTCCATTGAGATGCGCAGTGCCATGGCCAGTTCTGGGTCCATGCTGGGGTCAACCCCGAACTCGAAGCCGCCGCCGCCGCCGCCACCCCCACCACTACTACCAGTATCCCCACCTATATAGTTGCAAAGGGAAGAGAGACGTACCACATCGGGTTAGGAATACTGAACGAAAGGAATCGGTAGTACATTTATTGATTGGGCGGGAGATGTCCAACATCATGTTTGAATGTTGAGGCTCGTTGACAATGAAAGAGTGAACGACATGTCACTACTGAGACGGGTTCTAAACAAGATCTCTCTACCATCGCTACACAGACATTGGTAGTCACTGCACTGTTACACACTTCTAAATTGTTCGCTTGAAAGTGTACCAGAATAATTCAGTGGAACGTTAACCGTTCCTACCAGTCTGCCTTCCCATTATAATTGTCTATTTTGTGCAGTCACAGCAGGACTGTGGTATAGACTTAGCAGGGCATGCAAAATTATACGCTGCACGATTCGTCAGAGACACATTCTTAGGCGCTGCTAACTATATTACGAGTCATGGCGGTTGTGATGTTTTATAAGGTTACATTTAGACCATATTTGTCACGTTCTTATATGTACGCGGTAGCTTAAAATATCCCACAACTAGATTGGAGAGGGTCTTGTGGGCCAGGCAGCATACCACAACCAATCCGCATAGCATCACTAAGAGCCGTACACTTATTAAAGTTAGAGCGGTGCTTGTACGTAATACATCGCACATGTGCACATTTGCATGGCATGCGCGACAGATACACTTCCTTCATCACCTTCGAAGACAGGTTTAGTGACATTCTACACACCGAGGCACAGTTGATAGGTGCCGTACGTAAGTACTCGCACACACTTACCATATGATGGCTCATCCGGACTACGCAGAATGGGTGACTTCGAGATGTGCTCACTCAACATAGCGGTGCCCGGGGGTATGCTTACCAGGTGGCTATTTCCTTCGCGACTATTGACGGAATTCACAAAAGCCTCTAGAAGTAAGATGTTTTGCTCCTGTGTATGGGTTTAATGCGATTTAGTTAGTACTATATACACTTGGCTAAGACTTCGGGGTTTCGCTCCTGCGTCTAGACCAATAAAATATTCCATGTGTAGAAGAATTGCCTAAAACTGACCGAAAAATCATGCCGAAGTAGAAATTGAACTATCAGGGTTCGTATGCATGCGTGCATACATGTTATAAACAGCTCACGTGACAGCACAGAGCACCCAACCCCCCACCGGCGATACAGTTACGGCGGAATACAGTATTACTTTCATATACCATAGCATTTGATATAGTGAGCTATACAGGCACGTCACAACACCCTCTGCCTGTACAGGACATACTGACTGTCACAGTTAGCTTGCAAGTTCAACGAAGACACTTCAGTGCATACCACGACGTGGCCGCACTAACACATTATTCCAAATATCAGGCACTGACCCCCCCATCCGCATACACCTCTCATACTACTCACGCTTATGTATCGCAACTGAATCTTACACTCGAAACCATCACTTCTGACACACCCACAATTCTAACACGCACCCGTATAAATATGTGCATACATGTATGCAGACAATATATGCATACAATATGTGCATACATGTATGTAGACAATATGTGCATACATGTGTGCAGACACGTGCGCGGCGTAAACGTCTACACATGGCTGTACACCAACTCCAATGTAACTATATTAATCATTTAAAAATACATTTACCTCTTCTCCGAAATTGATCACATCCACAGCAACATTGTTTTTCTTTAGCTTCTTAGCGACCTTTTCCAATTGCTTCTGGTCCACATTAACAGGCGAGCCAACGAACACCACAATGCGTTGTCTCTGATTTTTATTCTGTCTGTGCTTTAAGGCTAACTGTGATTCAAAACAATAAGATAGTATCAGTAAAAGGTACGAGCTTGACAACGAAGAAAGAAGAATACATATATATTCTAACTTTCATAACTTGCGAATTGAGGTATCCAGCAAAGGGTTTGTAAATGTATCGTTATGCAAGAAGTTCATAGTGAGCAATCAGATACGACCACAATGCTCGAAAAGAAATATTAAAGCAGTACAAGGCATGAGCAGTAAAAACAACTGCATACCACACAAACACAAACACAAACACAGACATATATATGTATATATGTATAAATATAAATACATACATACATATATATATATACATATATATATATATATATATATATTATATATATATATATACATATATATAATAATGTATATGAATACACAGTTTTATAATCGTACAAATTCTAATCAATCATCTAGAATGTGAATCTATTTTGGTATGAAAGATGGTAAGCTAAGAAAACAGATTAAATCTAGAACAATGCTTACCTGTGCTATTTGCAGCCCGTCTAGTATATTCACTTCACCCTTCAGCTTGACCTCATGCATAGACGTCAGAATCTTTCCAATATCAGGAGTAAGTGTGACCAACATCTCACACGTGTCCGCAATTGTCATAACAGCTACATTGCTTTCTGCGTTTGATCTTGTTTTAGCGCTGCATACGGTGTGTACAGCATCTCGCTGAGCATCCAAGCGTGAAGGGGGATAGTCTTTGTTTCGCATCCATTCGGAATTGTCTACGCAGACAACTGTGGCTTCTAACACCATGATGTTTTGAACTTGAACGATACTTGTAAGTTTACTAGACGCCTCTGTGTATATTTACCCCAGCCGTGCAAATATATATCTCACAACCTCACGATGTGTACAAAGTGCTGTCGTGTATACGTTTATCTCTCAATATTGTGATTTTATTGATTTCTAATCGTAAACGGGGCGTTTTATTCTAAACGTCGTAAATACGGTTTTAAATTTGACTTTCTCCCTTGTTCCATCGATGTATATAAAATACAGCATTTCAAATGTATAAAAAAAATGGTTTACGATTTTATCCTCTTCTCTCTTTGTTATGAGAAGTCAAAAGTTTGGGGTGTCATCATATATGTCACGATCAATCTTCACAACAAGGTCAGATTAACCCTTAGCCCTCAGGTCCAGGGCCTCAGGCCATCTCAGCCCTCTTTTAAAAAACCAAAACCAAAACCAAAACCAAAACCAAAACCAAAACCAAAACATCATGCCTAATTTTCAGAAGGCTATGAAAAACAAAAACAAAAATAAACACTGACTCATGAGTCATGACTGTAGCTTACTTCTTAGGTCTCTTGACTGACGCATCTGGGGGGGTGGGGGCCTGGGGGTTATTTAGGGACAGAGTGGAAACTCTCTCTAGACTTGTCTATCCTACCCTTATTTTCGCCCAATTGGGCAGCCGTTTCATCCCTTTTGGGCCTCATCCATAGGGTTTCATTTTATGATGGGACCGCTGTGGGTTTTTGGATAATTGTTTCTAAAATGTGATTGGCTATGCAAAACAGACGGCTACTAGCATCTCAGAGGCAAAACCCGCTGTGCGAAGACCCGCCCAATTGGGCTAAAGAGAAGCTTGAATTCTGTGGGGAACACAAGAGGCTGTCTATTTCTTGAAGTAAATATTTCAAACACTTTTTGTTTTTTTTGTTTACATTTGTTTTAAAAAACAAAAGGAAAAGAAAAAAAGAATACAAAACAAAAAGAATAAGAGCAAATACATAGCCTTCTAAAATAAAACACAAATATTTAAACAAAAAAAGAAAGATCACTCCAGCAGAGTAGTATTTACATCTGCAACAATGCTAAACAGAGTGAATATGTCTATACGGCACCGTTAAACATAAAATTATTAACCCCCGAGCCCATGTCTAAAAGCGCATCTGGTCCATTCGCAAAGGTAGGGTCGATATTTATGGGCCCAGGTGAGGTGACCCTGGCCCAAGTACCGAACTATTACACGTATGCACTTTGCCGGTGGCCGGTGGGCAGTCGTGCCCTCAAATACTAATATAAAACAACGTGTACGTGTACACATGTGTTGAGAACAATGTGAGATGGCTTTAGTTAAATACTCAAGTCCCACACAGTACATGAATCTCATCCTTTTGGTTCAGCCTGAGGATGGCCTCAACCTTATTGACAATTTCAAAGGGTAGTATGATACATTGTGTTTCTGCGACAACTTGCACCCTCTTCAAAAAAAATCAAAAACACTTGGTATATAATACTATTTAGGACTGTTTTTTGGTATTCTTAACACAGACCTGAGAGGCTGAGACTCTATATGTCACGGTCTATATTAATAATAATTCAATACTAACTGAAGAAGGCTCATATTATTATTAATTCAATATTAACTGAAGAAGGCTCACGATGAAAAGATGTACGATAGTAACAGTGTTTTGTCAACACCGGCCCGAATTGACTCAGCACATATCTTCCATTGTCGACTCACTTGGCCCAAGCTTCAAACGAGAATTTACTGACCACTTCTTTCCATCAATCTTTCCTGAACCACTACAGCGACTATGAGAGCCATACCATATGTTCATACATTGTATCATACAGACTTACCATTTTTGAAATAAATAAAATTATCCCTACATATCTTGTGATAAAAAGTATCTTTACCAAAACAACAGTCAAGTATCGGTTTTGAGTTTTCGGTACATAATTCACACCTGTAACCTGAAATAGAATACATGGAAGTTGAAACGCCTCAGACAAGAGAGTCAAATGTCAATGTTCTGTTGAACTTGTGAGCGTGAAATGTGAATTCGTGTATCCATACTTCTAAATATTATTTATTTAAAAAAAATCGTTTGCTTTGCACAATTGCAGTACATATTGCACTACTGTAGTACAGAATTGCACTGTATTTATTGTATGTAATGTCTGTAGTTTAACAATGTTGAATTTTGTTTTGTCCCGTTCTGTTTGTAAATTCCAGGTCCAAGGCATTTTGTCCTAACCGCAATTATGTATTTTTTTCTTCAGAATATAATTCCAAGAAAATAATCACGGAATAGAAGGGCTCGGGCGTTAATAGTTTTATGTTCATCGATGCCTTATACCTAGTTATCTATTTATTATTATTATCTAGAGTAGACACATTTGTGTAGTTCTGAGTGTTGTTGTTTTTTCAGATGCAAAGGCTATGCAAAAAAAAAGTAAATGTTGTACACAATTCATTTCTTCCTCTTGACGTTGAGAATGGAGCAGAACACTGCAGCAGCTTCACTCTTCGACTCTTACAGGCTATGTAGCCTGTACTATGTACACACTTTTCACTTGCGTGTATAGCGCAGCTGCCGCAAGCCCACAGGCGACAGCTGGCTGAGGGCCTGAGACTGAGAGTGACTCAGGCTCGTGGGCCGTGACTCGTGACTCGTGACTCGTGAGGCGTGAGGCTGGAGGTGTGCGTGAAGCTACCTGCAGCCCTGTACTCTAACACACACAATCAAGAGACGGTGAGAGACAGAAAGAAGGAAAGAAAGAGAAAGAGAGAGAGAGAGAGAGACACACACACACACACACACACACACACACACACACACACACACACAGAGAGAGAGAGAGA